TCTTGTAAACCACCCAGAGTAGACTTCAGTCAGATGGGTGGTATAAAAATGAAATGAATGAATGAATAACACTCATCAACTAATTCATTGCTGTACTGTAAGGGACTTAAAATAAAAAAATGAAAAATTTCAGCATCCTCTTCTGTTCCCCACTCTGCAGGGGGAGCAGGAGGAAGCTTTCAGTTTATTAATAAGCAGTTTGATCCTGCTGTGATTCAAATGAAGTAGCTAACTGATCTGATTTGGTTTGATACCAGTAACCACACATGCTGGAACTGAACCAAAACAGAGCAATCCTATCTGCATAAAAAAATATTTCCCTGATAGGGACCAAAAATAAAGTTTGGGTTGGTTCACTAGTGCCTGTATGCATTGTGGTTGCCAGAAAAAGAAGCAAAAACCAGCTCATTCCCAAAGCAGACCAAATGGTGGGACAAATGCCATCTGATTGCACCCTGATTCTCCATGATAATTTAACTTATTTCCCTACTGAAAAGGAAAGCTGTTAGTAAAGTTGACCAATGTTCCAATGCCTTAAACAGCTCAGACTACAGTATTTTCACATGATGGCAGTGCCTAATTATGAGATAGTCCTGGCACAGTATCCACAAAGAAATGCTCAGGATCATAAAAATTCATAAACTCACATAGTCTCCCTGCATGTTGTACAGTGGTCCCCAGTTTCGTGTGAGGAATGTGGAGGGGGAAAGCAGGGATCAAAACGCTTTGATCCCTCCCCCCTCATTACTTCCATGTATAAAATGACCCTCAATTTTTCCTCTAATTATTTTAGGGAAAAGTGTCATTTTATACACGGTAAAATATGGTAATTAAAGGAACGGGGATATAACATTATGTGGGGAAAATAATTTATTTCTGGCTTGTGGGAACAGAACAAGAAGCTCAATCCTGCTTCTGCTTTACTGAGCAGCAATCTCAAGTTCCAAATGTTGGTGCAAATTTGCTCAGTGCACTTGATGGATCAGAAGAGAAGTTGTGCATTTATTTGGATATGGTTTGTGTGTAGTTTTGTGGATCTTTTGTGGATTCATTAGGGCTGTAAGAGCCAAGATCTACTCTCCAGGAGACTCTACATCTAAACAGAAAAAAATGTTTGATGCTCTCCCTCTATATAGGAGAAATCTTGTAAGCTTCTTCTACACATCTCTGGAACTGTGCTTCTATTCCTTCTGTGGCTAGCTTTTTATATAGCTATCTATATGCCATGCAGAACAATTACTAGAAACCTAACACAGAGGCTACAGGTATCTGTTATATTGGTTACATCTTGATACCTTGAAAGATGGAGAATGTTAGAAAATAAACTATTAAAGTCTGAAGAATTTGGCTAGATTTTTTTTACAGAAGGCACCACTTAGTATTTTGCCCTGGACACTTCAGTGTCATGGTCAATGGTCACACAGTTCTTACTGGCATCTTTTGGTTCAACCACATCTTGTGCCAGACAGATCAGCCGTTGAATTCCACATGATGTAAAAATTCTGTGTTGGTTCCCACTGGGTTCATTCCTTGATTTCTTGCTTAACACAACTTAGCAGTGGCTGAATAGCCTTGTGATTACCAGAATGCCTCAATAACTAACAAGCCATCATGGAAAAAAATATTATTGTTTTAAGCCATCCATGAGAAGAGGGGCCTAACATTGCTTTTATATAGTCTAAAGCTGAAAAAAATCCTTACTCCCAGTAGTGTCTGAAAGCAGTTTTTGTTGTTGTGAACTACAAATGAAAAATCAAAATAAACTGCTTTTCAATTCCACAGTTTGAAAAGCTACATTTTTTGGACTAGATCAGAAAACTTACTGAAAGATCAGTATGTGATTATTATGCAAAATCAGGTTAGGTGTTGTGGCAATTAATAATGCTATATAGGTGATCCCAGAAACATCCTGGCCTTCTTAGGCCAGTTAACATATGATTATAAACTTCTAGAAGCCCAATCCAAGCTGGGGATTACCAAGTAGGCAGCATCAAAGGAGAGCAGGCCATAGACTGTGAGCACGTACGAAATCATATCAGATTGCGGGCCAGTGTAAACACTGGCACCAAAACAACCTACATTCTTTGTGTGATCCCCTAAACTGAATGGGACCGTAAAAAAGACTGGAAATCACGCAACAGAAAAGCTAAACTGAGTTAGTTGCACCCTTACATATTTACAGTACTGAATAACTCACTGTAGTTGCATTTTTACTGGGTTTAATAGGAGTCCTCAACCGCACTAGCAATGCTCTTATGGTAGTTCCATAATCCAAACAGATTTCTCTCTAAGTAGGAAAATGGATGGATTTTTTAACATGGGGCATTAAAACTAGAAATGTATGAGAAAGGCACATTCCAGACTCTCTCAGTGTTTTATCTCTGACCTTAAGGTATCTATACGTGAAAAGATTTAGAAGAGAATTAGAATCCGAAGAGACATAAATAACATTTATCAACAAACTTCCTATTGTATTTTTCACTTTAAATAGGACTGTGAAAAATAACTGTCCTTCCTGTGATAACAACTGCAGTTAGTATTTACATTTTGATATCCCAACAAATGTGGGTCCATGCTAATAGAACTTCTTCCTGTTTTCTTGTAATCTTTAAATCTTTCCTTATTAACCTAGTTTTTCCTCTGAAATACTTCAATCCATGTATACTGATAAACATTCTAGTGTACATGATGTATCTGAAGCAGAAGCATTTTGCCTATTAAGATCATGCCACAATTCACTAGTTCATATCCAGTGCCCTGTGAGGTATCTAAAATCAAAAATTCCAGATTGCTTTACTAGGTACAGTATTGTATTCTCATGTCTCTTCATTATTATGTTTTAGCTTTAACCTTAACACCCTCCTCAATTGTGGGTTATTATGTTATTGATACTATAAATTGAATTATTGATTGACATTCTCTTTGGATTTTATGTGCATACACTCTTGTAATTATGCATACAAGAGCAATTTCCAAAAAGGATGCCTTTGTGACAATCAACAAACTTGTCAGGGCTTTTTAACGAGTTGTTGTACTTATGCTTAGTATAGGGTGGTGCGAAATGCAGCAGTTCACCTGCCCGCCGTCCCATCCCCACGAGGAAAGCAAAATCTAGGTTGTTTCTGCATTAAACTTCAGAGCGCCATGATTGTGACAGATGCTTCCTTCCTTGTGATCACACTCTCCATGCCAGCAGCCTTTAGTGTTGCTTCACATGCCACATTTTTCGCTCACCAGGGTTCTCACAAGTAATTTCCATGACGAGAAAAACAAATACTGAGGAAAATGTTTATTCACACAGAGAGGATTATTTAGCAGAATTATTATTTAGTTCTGCAAGATGGTTCATCGACAGATATAAATGCACTCCACAGGCTGAGAACTGCTCTGTGTGTTCTGCATCTACTCCATTTTTGCAGCTGAGTGGTACAGTTCATGCTGAAGATCCATCTTGGGCACAGTTACTCAGCCTGCATTTGGATGGTGCCGGCACTTGGCATTCCAGAGCAGATTTTCTGTATCCTGTGTCAACACATACAGCTGTTATCTGGAAAGGTGCTGAATAGCTCCAGAAGGCTATCATTGCCAAATGATATGATGAACCTCATGTGAAAGGAGGAGAGAGGATATAACAGTCAAGGGTAGCCATACTAGACATAAGAAAAAGAAATCAAAACCACATTTTAAGAGTACCTTAGGACTATTTAAAAAGGCGCAAAACATATGCAAACTTTCAGAGTTCTTCAATCTCTTTATCAGGCAAAACCTTTTTTAAAAAGGAAGCAGGAAAAGAAAAATGGGATGGATGCACCACATGGTCTTTAAGCAGGGAGGTAAATGATGACTTACTTCATGTCATGTACTAAATTAGAAAGCACTTTTTCTTTACAGCAGGAAACTGATGAGGTTGTTGATGGTAGGCTTGGAGAGAATTTGAATCTTGCTCTGATTTTTTAAAAATTAAGTTAATAACTGTTGCCTTGTTGCATGGATGATTAAAAAACAGAAGCTTTAGATGCTTTCTCTGCACATTTGCAACCAATCAGTCTGTTATTTTGTGCTTGAGCCAAGTGTTTTCCATTTGTGGAAAAGTAAGCAGAGAATTATTTCCCAAAATTGTTCAAAGCACAATGTTTTTAAAAAGTGCTTAATGTCTTTTTCTTACATTAATTTTCTTACATTAACGCCTGCTCCCACCAAGGTCTATCCGACTCACCCGTGCGAGTCAGGAGGTGAGGCTGGAGAGCCTGACGCTGAGAGAGGCCCGGAAGGAAAAGACACGAACCCGGGCCTTCTCAGCGGTGGCTCCTCGCCTCTGGAACAACTTCCCTTCAGAGATTGGTGCGGCCCCTATGCTGGGAATCTTTAAAACCCAATTAAAAATATGGTTGTACATCCAGGCCTTCCCTCCAGTCAATACCTGATTTCTTTTCTATTCCTTCTTATTTCTCACTCTATTTTATTGTAACTGTATCAAATGATTATGTAATGTTCTTGTGTTTTATTGTTTTATCCTATACTGGAAGCTGCCTAGATTGGTCGAGTAGACTAGATAGGCGATGTATGTATGTATGTATGTATGTATGTATGTATGTATGTATAAATAAATAAATAAATAAATAAATAAATAAATAAATAAATAAATAAATAAATAAATAAATAAATTAAATAAATAAATTAGTGGTATGTTCTCCTTCATGGGATTAAGAATCCTCAGCACATTTTCTTACAGTTTTGAGATGTCCTGTCTTAACCCAAAATGAGACACAAATTAAATGTGTTCCCTATCTGAAAGGCATGTGGCTAGCTTGTTGCTCTGAGAATGTTAGGAAGAGGAAAAGTCTCAAATAGGGCTCATCAGATTACGTAACTGTATCAGGGTTCACCTGGAGCATAATTCTGGATGTGAAAATCAGCAACTCAGGATTTTAGCAAACAAATTATCATTTTATAACCAAATTAAAATGTATGTGTTTATTTTATTTCCTTTAACCCCCCAGGACTTGCACCAGGTCAGCTCTATACATATCCTGCTCGTTGCTGGCGTAAAAAGAGACGTTTACATCCTCCTGAAGACTCCAGGCTGAAATTGCTTGAAATTAAACCTGGTAGGTGCTCCCCTCCCTGCTTCCTTTCTCTTCTTTTCTAAGTTCATAGGTCAGAAGGCATCTCCCAAGCATGTTTCCCAGGGCTTCTGGCCTTTTTCCTCTATTTTTGCCTAACTTTTTATATGGAGGGAGAATTTTGCCCAAATCTGCTGTGTCAGGTGTTTATCTTATTTTGAACTTATACCAAAGAAAACAAAAACCCAAAAATCGTCTCCATCCCAAACATAGTTGTCATGTATACCAGGCAGAATTGCAGTATTTGTGTACTGTATATTAATCACAAGAAGAGAGTACTGTACTCATAGTACCTCTTGAGGGAAGAAGATTCTCACGTTGGCTCGTGGTTTTCATGTTTTCAATATTGGCTCTGCTGATGGCCTATAAATGTGAAAAGTTCCTTCAGGTGTGTCCAAGTGTCTGGTTCTAGTTACAAACTATTTTGGTAGTTTGTTTTTTTAACTTGTTCAAATTCCATTTTATCCACTTGTAATAAAGACCAGCCAGGAAATTAGTGTTTAAGTGTTCAAAATCACTGCACAATTTAACATATCTGTATCTGGGAATTTTATTTGGCTTAGTCATCTGAAATGACCAGATGGTCAATAATCAAGGCCAAACAAGGCCGGTAACACAGTTGTGTAATAAATCTAACTAACAAATGCATTCCCAATATGTTAAATGTCAACCTGATAGTTGTATCGTGATTGTCCTGCTTCGATATTAAGCACTTGATATCTTAGACATGTAGAGATAATGCAATTTAATGAACCACTTAAGTGTAGATAAAAACATGTTCACATTAATGTTTCCACTTTTTTTCTGTTCCAGCTATACAGTGTGTGTGTGTTTTTGTGTGTGTGTGCGCGCGTGTGCGTGCTCTGTATATGACACAGAGGTTTTGAGAGGTTTTTTTATATGGCAAATTTCT